TAGATTCTGTGCGTCACTTCGTTTTTTTTTATTCGTTCCTTGCCTTTGTTATATTTTTTTAAACAATGATTTATTTATTTTTGAACAATACAAATAGCAACAAATCAGCACAGCCAAATACAAACAAGAAGAAGAGAAAGAAAAAAAACAAATACAGGTATATGAGTTACAAATGTACATGTCTGAGTCAAAATATGTCGAGTGCTCCACATTTAAAGTCAACGGAAAGAAAGAAAAGGAGAAAAAAGGGAATACAGACATTAATTATTATGTTTAAAAACAAAATGTGATCTCCCTTTATGTATTAGCACAGTAAGGTCATGAGGTTGGAGATAAAGCAAAGGCCGCCATATCCTACAGAATGCATCATAATTGCCCTTTATAATGGCACTAAGGCGCTCCATTGGCAACACCCTGAATGTTTCTCTGTACCATTGTGTAACAGTGGGAGGCTGTCTCTGAATCCACTGAAACAGTACACATCGCCTCGCTAAATGTAAAGGTTTACATAACAAAAGCATTTGTACAAAGACAGAGAAGCCAACTATAGATAGACCCAGAACAAACAGCACAGGGTTCAGTGGGATCATCTGGTGAAAGATTGACCGAAGCTCTATAGCAATATCATTAAAGGATGTTGCCAATGGTAATAAGTCCCCAGCCCTTGTTATGTTTACTTTGTAACCCTCCAGCTGTTTTGAGTTTTAAGTGTTGCTTTCTAGTCCTACTCTGCTGTTTCACAGACAACTTAAATCCTTTATCATGTGAGCATGATTTTTTTTTCTTATTTATTTAAATCAGCTGTAACTAAAACTATTTTCACACTCACGAGGGTCCAAAGCTTTGAAAATAAACAGACTTCAAAAGTCTAAGATGCTTAAACTGAAGGCAGCTTTTTACAGTAACTTTGTACCTTTGTGAAACTGACAGCCATCCACACTTTGAGGCTTCAAAGAAACCAGTTTGTTAAAAAGTGTTGACGGCTGGGCCAGTTCACAACTTCATTCTCAAACTTTTCTTGAAATGTAGATCACAAACTGCTTCAACTAATCAGCCCCAAAGTCCTTAAACATGTAAGACATGTTTCTTCAAACACTCTTTAACCTATTTCTCAACCTGTGTCCATTTTCTTCTTTCAGATCCAAGAGCTGAACATAAGAGCAAAAACCAGCAGAGTGATCATGCCGTCTCTATCTCTCTGAGCTTGAATGCTGCACTTGTTTTTGTGGTAATCTGTGAGTCTGTCCTTTTTTCACATTGTGGTTTGCTGTTTTATTAATATCAGCACACCTCCGCAGTGTGCAGCATCGTGGTGCATTTAGAGGTGCATAGATGTAACCATCAGATCACGTTTCTGCACTGAGAAAGCACGATATTGCTTTCCACTTTTATGCTGATGACAGATCTATGTCACTCTAAAGAAAAAAGGCACATACCGCACACAGCCATTACTTCAGTGTCTCTATGACATTAAGGTTTGGATGTCTGTTAACTTTTTAAAATTCAATAATAAAATAAAAGACCGAGGTGATGGTTTTTGGTCGCCCCACTGAGACCCCCAGAGTGTATTTAGATTCTTTGGCTCAGTATGTTAAGCCAACTGCTACAAACCTGGGGGTCAAAGTGCACTGTGAGCTGAAGTTTGATAATCAGATTAAGGCAGTGGTAAAATCTAGCTTCTTTCAGCTCAGGCAGCTGGCAAAAATAAAGCCAATTCTTTCACGGCAGCACTTTGAGACAGTGATCCACGCCTTTGTTAGCACTCAGCTGGATTACTGTAATGCACTTTATATTGGGGTCAGCGCATCATATATTAGTCATCTACAGATGGTGCAAAATGCTGCAGCTCGTCTTTTAACTGGCACTCGAAAGTTTTAGCACATTTCCCCTATTTTAGCTTCACTTCACTGGCTGCCCATTTCTCTTAGGATTCATTTTAAAATTCTTTTATTTGCTTTTAAAGCTCTCCATGGCCTAGCCCCATCTTATCTCTCTGATGGTGCAGCCTTATACACCCACCCGCTCTCTCAGGTCAGCGGATCAGCTGCTCCTGAATGTACCCAGGACTGGGCGTAAAAGATCGTGCTTTTGCTGTAGCAGCTCCAAAACTGTGGAACGAGCTTCCTTTAGAGATGAGACAGGCCACTTCCCCATCTGTTTTTAAGTCACTCCTGAAAACCCACCTCTTTACCCTGGCCTTTGACACCACGTGAGATGTTGGTTTTTATTTTAAGTTTTTAGTTGTTTTTAGTTGATTCTATGCTGTTTTATCTTGTTTTCTTTTTGAATATAGGGCTGTTTTAATTTTTATGTATTATGTGTATTTATTTATTTTTTTTGCTCTTTTCTGTTGTTCTATTGTTTTTTAACTTATTTTCTGTACAGCACTTTGGTCCTGTGCTGGGTATTTAAAAGTGCTCTCTAAAAAAATTGGTTTGGTTTCAGAGTAGTTACAAAACTATTTTGGAGGTAAAGTCCAAAATCTGCAAAACTTTAAGCTAGGTTATTTTTCTCATCACTCACAGTCAGTGGTGTCTGCATGCAGGTGTCTACAATATGTTTCATATTAGAACTAAATTAGTAAGAAAAAATGAAATAAATATTTCACAAATGCAGGTCTGAAAATTAGTACACTGAAAAAAGAGAATAATTGATCCAACTGATTAGTTAATGTTCAGTTGGTAACAAGTAATTAAATTAGGTTTATACCTAATTTAATTAAGTTTGACTTAAATTTTTTAAGTCAAACAATCTTACTCAAATCGTTCAGCTTCTTTCAAATAAAGAATTCAAATCTCTCTGACTCAGTTTTAAAAGTCAAACTTTTAAGTTGTTCCAAATCAAAAAACTGAATTATCCAAATGTACATTATCGCCCAGGTTATACTAAAAAATAAAAACTTTACGAAATTACTAACTATACTAAAATAACCCATTTGAATCTAAATCATCTCAAATGTGTGTGCTAAATCACTTTAGTAATAGTAATATCACTTTCTCACGCACGTGCACTACAAATGGGCCTTATGCTCTATCACACATATATGCGCACGCAGTGAGGCTATTGTTAGTTCATGGAATACGTTAAATAGATAGTGAGACTCCTTTTGCTTATCAGGGATGTATCTTCTTGTATATGTGTCCTTGGGTGACGGCCAAGCAGAAAACAAGGTCATAATTCTCTCTGTGAGGGAAAAGGTTTAAAGGATGGGGCTGAAGGTGTATTGTTAAAATTTCCACAACAGTACTCATAAATACTTAGTTTCTGTCAGAAACCTGCTACAGTGTAGAATCAGGAAGTATTCCTGATATGACAAAAAAAGAAAACTTTTTTTTTCATGCTTATGGCATAATGACATACAACTTTTTCTTAAACACAAAGAATGCAAAACCTATTGCATCCCAGGTTGTTATGCAGACTGGATGTTTGGGGTCTATCTTGTTTTACACTGTGAAAAATGTATTTTTGTCACAGCTGCCTTCTGAGTAGCCATTACATTAGCTTGTCTCCCTGTCAGAGATCTAACGTCGAATTAGAGTCAGATTTTGAGTTAAAAGAGCTTTCAAAGAAAGGTGTCTGGAATTCTTAAAGTTGCTTGAAGACGTTTCACCTGAAAACGGGTGTGGGTCCCAATCAGCCAGAGTTTCGGGTGAGCTCATTGTGAAACCTGACTGAAAACGGGATTATAGATGGCAGACACTGTCAAAATAAACCTTCAGTCTTAATCATGGACAGAATGAATGTTAAAACATGTTGAGACTTGAACAACACCCAAACAGCGCAGCTAGCAAGACTAGCAAATGTGTAAGAGCAAATAAGTGATGTTACTACTAGCTAAAACACAGACAGTGAATAAATGTTACAAATATGAAGTATGACTTATTTGAAGAAAAAGTATTGTTTAATTTCTTAATATTGTTTATTAAATGTTAGCTTATCATGGCTAGCATAATTCACTTGCTTAAACTCATTCTGAATATTCAAGCAGGACATTAAATAAAATAAAACTATGGGGTTTAATCATTCTTACCAGAATAAACAATCGGAACATCAGATGTTCATATTCAAAGTGAAAATTTAAACTGTACAAGTTTCACTTTTGCATGTAGTTCTTGTCTTTTATTTTGAGTGTGATATAAGTTCATGTCCTTTTAGAGTTTCACCTTCAAAGCTGTGTTGCAGCTGGTGTTGCTTGTGTGGAAAGAGATCAGTGTTGCTCATACTTGTTTCTGATCAGAGTTTAGTTCAGACCTGCAGCAGCTTCCAGTCACAGTTTAAAAACAACTTCCTCTCTTTGTGTTCTGCCAGCTGTCAAGCTTGCTTTGAACCAACCTCTTATTTTTATAATAGATGTCAACTCATCTTGTAACCCTCTCCTTCCAGCAGCGCTTCTTACTATGTGGATTCAGGCATCTGTAGTTTATATTCATCCAGCTTATAAAACATTTACAAGTGCAGGTTCATACTGTAACTTTTACACATAAGCTGCAAGTATGTGAGGTAGTTTTATAGTTGTACATTTGTGGAAATAAGTATTTTTAAAGTTGGCCCACAACATTCTTAATGTTACTCACATATTACCAAAGTACGTAGATGTAATCCATGGGGGCTGAAAGCCGACGCTGTACAGACAGTACAGCACAAACGTACTGCTCACTGCCCCAGCAGGCTTCAGCAGTGCTTCTGTTGTCCAGGTGTTGTCCCAGATGTTGGAAGATTTCTCTGCAGAGCGGAGAAATATGTTGTATGTGATGAGTGCTGATGTGAGTGTGAAGGTGAAGTGACTCCTCTGACGGTCTGTTGGCAGGTCTGAGTTGTGTATCACTGTCTCTGAAGAGGAGAATCAGCAAATATCAGGCAAACCTCCCTCCAGCTGGGACCAGTGAGAGGCTGGAGGCTCCACAGGTAACTCAAAGTGTACAGGTGACCCTGCAGCTCATGCTCATTGTTCTCCTTCAGTGCTACTTTGTCCTGTACTCAGTGCTGCTGTTGTGTTTCAGTACGAGGAGATCAAGCTCCCCTGTCGATCTGCTCCTGCTGAGAGCGTTTACTCTCAGGTTCAGCTTCTTCCCTTCACATTGCCTCAAAGCTGATGGACACACCTGGACAGGTGGATGATACCTGGTGGATTCAGATTTTGTGGACAGAGGTCAGTCTGATGACTGAGATCTTGCTGCTCCTCTGCTCGTTGGAGGATTTCTTTCTTCATGTCAACTGTTAGCTTCTTGGACAACAGGACATCAAGAAAATGCTGTAAGACCATTTGAGTCAGATTCAAATGAATGTGACCTTTAAGGTTAAACCAGTTTATCCTAAGGTGTTTTAGGATTTAAGGTAGATAAGCGTCAAGTCAAAGCTTCTGTGAAAACCTGTAAAAAAACAGTCCAACATTTCATATTTATTTGAATCCTCTGTCTGTATTCTTTATCGGTTTTAGTTACCAGTGATTCCTGAGATTAGGGACAAAACAGGTTTTAATTTTCTAAAATATATTTTTTGATTTTTCAAAAACATATTTACATATAATTGTTAAGTTTTGGCTGTCTCACCATGTTTTGGTACAATCTCCCTTTTTAATAATTTATGTTTTTGCAGAAGTACAAGGTTTTTGTCAACACCGTCAGACACAAAGAAATGCAAAAATATATATTTTAAATTAAGTTGTTTCAGCTCTTTAAACTATTAGCAGCTTCTCTATTCTATTGTTTATGCACATATGTTTTCAAAGTAATTATACCACATTTAAAAGTAAGATTGTTTTGGCTTTTTATTATTAGAGTTACAGTCATACATATTTTCAGAAGCTTGTATTTAATCTGTATAAGAAACAGTCATATTAAGCAGCATGCAAATTACACATTTATTGAGAAGATTACGTATTTTTATTGGAAGATCATGAGGGAGGAAACTATATGGTTCTCCAAAAGAGAAAAATAAACAAAAACTTCATATTATGGAGTTGACAACGTGCTGACGGTGGTGACACAAATCTGACGGTGGTGACACACTAGTAGAAAACAAGATATTATTTCTTTCAAAATGACAATTAAACCTTAACAACCTTTGTAATATCACAAGACACGTCATAACAATTCTGTTTTTGCACATGTCAAGTTCTACAATAGTTCACCAGCAAGTAGCTGCCTACTACTCCTTGATTCCTAAAGTTCTTTGTGGTTGTGTGTTTAGACCTTGCTGGACTTTCTCTCCTTTTGTGTCTCTGTGCTTGTTTCCAAAACCTTCTCTTCTGACTTTTTTCTCTTGCTTTCAGATCACTGGTGTTCCTCTTTGCTATTCTAGCCTGAAATGTACCATTTTGTAATTACTATAATTTTTCTGAACCTTATGCTTTTTCACAGATTAAGGATGAATATTCACAACACAATTATGCATAAGCAATAGAGATGCTATCTGGCCATTAAGTTTGATGTCATTAGCCATTTCCAGGTCCAAACTCCGCTGCAGATCCCAAAGTCAAAGGAACTCTGCGGCATCACTGAGAGTTACAAACTGTCTAAATTCTTTCATCTTTAATAAAATGATCAGTGTGGCTGCTCTACCAGGTGTAACATCCAGGCATCCATGAAAACAGAATATATGAAATTTAACAGAGTTAAAGTTAGATTACTTGTTTCCACCTGAACATGATACACCAGCTCTGCTACCACTTCCAACATAAATGGAGACAGAAAACTAAACAGCAGTGACTATTGTCAGGTTACTGAAGTTGGGCCAGATGGTATATAGTGATGTGCTACATGACCGCTGGCGACACAGCTGTGTTAGCATAACATAAACACAGTGAAGCTGGAGGATGAATGCTAACTTTTTTCCACTTGATAAAAGTTAACGTGATGGTTCCCGATGGCTAGGCTGACAGTGATCACTGACTGTTTTTAGGGGCTTGTTCAGATGTAATAGAACAAGATAAAAAGCATTAAAACATTTTAACAGCACAACATGCTTAATAAACGCAGAGTACTTTGGGCCCGAAAGCAGGATTCATACATCATCACTTAAAGAACAGCTCTCAGGGCACAGCTAGCTCAGTAGATGCCACATGATCGAAAGGTTGAGCGTTCAAATCCAACGAACAGAGGATATCCTGGATTGGTAGCTGCCCACTGCATCACTGAGTGAATGGGTTAAATGCAGAGGACTAAGCACTTTCCTACAGGATTAATAATGTATACATAAACAATGAGATTCAAGATAAGGCAAATTCGATAATATTTGACACATCTGTGAAGCAGAAATATCAGTAAAATACACAAGATGTAATATGACTGAAATATTAGTAAAAAATAACTTAATATAAATGGTGAATAGCGCACTTTTGTGACATTTGTCAACACCATTAGAAAAAGGGTCAACGCCGTCAGATAAAAATCCTGATGGTGTTGACAAAATACCCGACTTTCTCTCAAAACACGTGTTTTTCTGACAGAATCCATCTTGTTTTTCATCATTTGCTTATGGCCTCTACAATCTACCTAAATGAGGCTGTTTTTACAAAAAAAAAAATTAAATCTTGGATTACATCGACTTTGGTGTTGATGCACTATGGTTGTAACCAAAGCTGGACTGGGACAAAAAATCGGCCCGGGCATTTTGACTAGAGACCGGCCCACCAGGATAAAGATTGAAAATGTGACGTCATTCAGGGGTAAAACCGCAAAGGATTCTGGGAACTTGTGGCAAGAGGTACTAGCGCATGCAGGCTTTCAATTGAACTCAGTTACACAG